ATAATAATAATAATAATAATAATAATAATAATAATAATAATAATAATAATAATAATAATAATAATAATAATAATAATAATAATAATAATAATAATAATAATAATAATAATAATAAAATAATAATAATAATAATAATAATAATAATAGCTTAGAGGGTATTTGCGCCACTCGCTGGGTCTGAGCAGCGAATCCTTTCTCCTCATAATGTCTCAAAGTAAATCAGACAGGCGCTATTCCTTCTGTTTACCACTGTGAATTAAACAAACCTAACATCACGTATTCCACGAATTGCCCCCCCCAAAAAATTGATGAGCTATATAGGTAAACAGACAACTTTTTAAATACTTCCTTCCATCCCTAGTTCTACATTTGAAATGAAAATTCCCTTTTCTTTTGCTCATGATTCTGAAATTATCTTTAAGGAATCCTGAATTTAATATGAGCATCCGTAAAGAGAAAGGCAGTGTCACCCAAGCCACGCAGCTTCCTCACCTTCCACAGGACCGATGGTCAGGTCCCAACCGATGGTCACAATGCCATGGCCACACTGGATCCTGCCTCCTCCAGGTGTGAGGTGATGCTACTTCCCCACTTCTCAGATTTCTAGTCCCGTCTAGGGTACAAAACAGCTGGGACCACAGAGGTGTTTCAGACACACAACCAGGCGGGAGTTTAACTGATCCTGACTCAGTCTGAGTTGGAGGATAGGGATCAGCCAGGGTGCACCTGCAGGGTCTGTCAAGGTTAAGGATGGTAAGAGAATGCTGAAAGCTACAATGAGAAAAATGAGAGGCAAGAGTCACCTGGGACCTGACTGTGTTTCCCAAACCGAACTCAGAACTCAGAATCTGAAAAGGGCAGATGTAAGAAAAACCACGTCATCATGTAGTCGGTCAACACACACGCACTGTGGTATGTTTTGAAAATGGTGGGTACTGAATCCTGCCCAGAGGTTCACTGTCTGGGAAGGAGGGTGATGTGTGAATGAGTAATTGTACACGTTCCTAAAACTCTTGCTATGGACACTTTGAAATAAAAGCAAACAGAAGTAAGATCTGGCAAGTTCTCTCTGGTGTGACTTCCTCTCAGGGACCGAACAGAGGCGTTTATCTGACAATCCTCTTCACCACCCATGTATAAACTCCAAACCTGGAGCATCTCAACCCCATAATGCCAAAGCAAGCAGAAGAAATAAAACAATAATGATGAAAACAGAAATCAATAAAATTAAAAACAGAAAAAACCAATGAAACCAAAGTCTGATTCTTTGAAAAAGTCAATAAAATTGACAAGTGAGTTTCTAGTGAGTCTGACCAAGAAAACAAAGAGAGAAGACATTAATAACAATACCAGGAATGAAAGAGGGGGCGTCACCCTTGACCTCGCTGACACTAAATGCATAATAGGAAAATAAACAACTGTATACCCATAGATCTGGCAACTTAGATAAAACATAGCGGTTTCGTGAAAGACGTAAACTACCAAAATTCACTGAAAAAAGATACAGAGAATCTGAATAATCCTCTATTTATTAAAGAAATGGAATCTGTAATTGAAAACCTTCCCACCCAGAAAACTCCAAGCACAGGTGACTTCCTTGGTGAATTCTGCCATTATGTAGGGAAAAAATAATATCAAACCTGCACAATCTCATCCAGGAAGTAAAAGAGCAGGGAAGACTTTCTAAGTCATTTTATGAAACCAGAATTAACCTAATATTAAAACCAGAAAAAGAGATTGCAAGAAAAGAAAATTGCAAAACAATACTCTTTGTAAACCTAGATGTAAATTTCTTCAACAAAGCATGCAAAAATTGAATCCAGAAATTCCAATTAAAACAATGATACATGCCAATCAAGCAAGATTCATCCCAGGAATACAAAGCTGGTTCAACATTTTTAAAATCAATTAATGTAATTCATGATATTAACAGTCTAAAGAAGAAAAACCTTATGAATATCTCAACAGATTCCAAAATTAGCATCTGACAAAATTCAACATCTCTTCATGATAAAAACCCTCAACAAACTAGAAATAGAGAGGCACTTCCTTCATCTTATGAAAAGCATTTACACAGCTACATAGAACCTACAACTAACCTCAACGGTGAAAAACTGAGTGCTTTCCCCCTAAGATGGGAACAGAGACAGGATATCTTCTCTCACTCTGTTCAGGATCAATGTCTCGTTCAAACACTAGAACTTAGAAGTTCCAGCCTTTCCACAAGAAAAAGAAAAGGCAGACAAATAGAAAAGAAAGATATAAAACTGCCTCTATTCTCAGATGACATGACTGTCTATGAAGAAAATCCCAAACAATCTACAAAAACATCTCTTAGAACTAAAAGCTGAATTTAATAAGGTCACAGGACACCTGGCCAATATGTAAATGTCAATTATCTTCCTATACACTATAAACAATTGGAATTTGAAATTCCAAAAAAAAATACCATTTACAATAGCACTGAAAATGAAATACTTAGAGATAAATCTAAGAGTCTGTATGTTAAAAATTACAAACACTAATGAAAGAAATTAAAGAAAATTTATATAAAGAGATCTACTATGCTCATGTATTGAAAGGCTCAATATTTAAAGATATTCATCTTGTCAATTGATAAATAGATTTGGTGCAACCCAAATCAAAATTCCAGCAAGCCTTTCTTGTAAATATAGACAGGTTAATTTTAAAATTTATATGGAAAGGCAAAGGAAAAAGGAAAGCCAAAACAACTCTGAACAAAAAAAAAAAGAATTAGAGGACTCATTCTACCTGACTTCACATTTCATGATTAAAGCTACAGTTATCCAGACAGTATGATATTGGTAAAAGAGTATGTGCATTTAACAATGGAACAGAATAAAGAGTCCTGAAATAGATCCACACAAACATAGTTCATTTCTGGCACAAGTACAAAGGCGAGTCAGTGAAGAAAGTTTTATCTTTTCAACAAATGTTTCTGAAACAACTGAGTACCCATGTGAAAAAAGGAAAAGGGAAAAGAGCCTTGATACACGCCTCATGCCACGCGCAAAAGTTACCTCAGAATAAACCGCTGACCTAGTTCTAACTCTAAACCTTCAAAAGTTCTAGAAGAAAGAGAGGAGAAAACCCGTGTGACCTTGGATGTGGTGATAAGTTTTAGACATGATACTAAAAGCATGAGCCATAACAGAAAATTTGATAAATTGGACTCATAAAAAATTTGAAACTTTTTCTCTGTAAAAGACACTGTTAAGGGAATGAGAAGTCAAGCCACAGACTTGGAGAAAAATATTTACATAAAGGACTCGTATCTAGATAGAATATATAAAGAACACTTAAAGCTCAATAGTAAGAAACAACCCCCCTTTAAAAATGAGCGGAATAGGTGAAAAGGCACTTCTCCGAAGAAAATATACAGATGGCAAATAAGCATGTGAAATGACGCTCTGCCTGAACAGTCATCAAGAAAGTTGAAGCCACAGAGAGAGGCCACTGCATACCTAGAATGGCTAACACGTAAGAGCTGACCACGCCAAGACCGGGGCTGATGGAGAGCGACTGGAACCCGCATTCACTGCGGGGTCTCATTAGTGAGGATGCAAATGGCACAGCCAGTTTGGAAGAGCTGAACAGTTTCCTGCAGAGTTAAATATATGCTTAGCATGTGACCCAGAAATCCCACTCCGAGGTATTTAATCCAAGTGAACTGACGCCCTGGATTCACCTAAAAACCTCAAGGTTGTAACCGCTTTGTTTCTGTCCCCAAACTGGAAACAACCCAGACGTGCTTCCGCAGGTGGCTGGGTAAACCAAGTGCGGTGCGTGCACACAACAGAACGCCACTCAGCAGCACAAAGACGAACTGCTGACTCACACAACAGCAGAGATAAACCTTAAATGAATCTTTTCTAGATGAAAGAAGCCGGACCCAAAAGACTTCACACAGTAAGATCCATATACACGACAGTCCGGCAAAACTGTGCAGACAGAAATCTCTCCGGGGGCTTTCCCGCGTGGAGGGTGGAGGCAGTGTTGGACTGAAGGCTGTCTACATGGGGGCTGTTCGAGGGCCACTGAACACAAGTCTCCTGGAAACTGGCAGATCAACATGAAAACATATTAGGAAAGTGTTTTTCCCCTTCACAGGCTTGATCTAAGGGAAGTGCATGTGAAATACTGCACCCAACAAATAGAAAATATTTCTCTGTTTCGAGCATTCATGGGATATTAGGAAATATAGACATAAATACACATTACATCAAAAAGAAAGTCAATATATATTTTTAAATTATATACAAACCACATTATCGGATCAAAATGCAGTAATATTGAAAATCAATTACAAAAAGATCACCAATGCCCCCCCAACACACATAATTTACTTTAGAAACTACAAAGCACACTTCTAAATAATTCATGGATCAAAGGAGAAATCATAAGAAAAATGATTAAATATTTAGATTTAAGTGAGAATGAAAGTGATCATTTTTCCATCATCCCATTTGTGTATGCACACATACACACACACGTTATATAAATAGAAATATATAGTTGTAAAAGTGTAACTATATTTGTATATATATATATATAAATAGAATGATGGAAAATAAGAAAGGACAAGAAATGCAGAAAAAAAAAAACAGAGGATAAGTTCAAGAGCTCTAACATCTGATTAAAATTTTCTCCATAAAGACATAAAAAATAAAATTAAAGTGACAGTTTTATCCTATAAATAATCATAGAGGTTTCCCTATCTCTGAACAAAATGAATTTCCAAACCGAACGGGCTTACCAAGTTCCCAGGACAGTAAAAGAAAAAAGCTCACACACTAAGGCACATTACAATGAATGTTCAAGTTAATAGGAACAGATAAAAAAATTACAGGTATTTCAGAAACTTTAAAGAATTTCATGGAATGACCAGGAATAATATGCCCCTTCTCAGGAAGCCACTGAAGCGTGTTCCCCCAAAACAACAGCACAAATGAAGAGGGAAATACCAGTGCGGAACCAGTGGCAGAACATTGGAGAAGGTCCCTGTGCCTTTCTCCGATGTTCCAGCCGCTGGTCCCCAGCATGACAGTGCAGAGAGGTCCCTGGACGGGAGCCCCAGAGCAGGCCGAGAGCACAGGAAATCTAGATGAGCAGAAGCAGAGAATCCTAGGAGGGTTATCTCTGAGAAAAAGATAAAATCAATCAAATACCTGATGTGTGTGACACAGTAAGGAGACATTTAAACTTAGACGGAGGGGACCTTGGAAGGAAAGAATGATAAGAAAATAGAAAACTTAAGACAACAAAAACTAAAAACCTCTTATCAACTTCAGGGAGGAAAAAGTTTGCAAAGAGGAAATGTAAGCACAGTATAGCACGTAGCTCTTCTGTGAGCAGTGCTTACATATCCATACAATAGTGCAAACTCTGGATATCAGTTTAATTCAAAATGGCGACACTGACTCCACTGAGAAGATGCGGAGAGGAGGGAACACATCTTATCTTCCACAGCAGGAGGTCAGTAGATAATAAACTGAAGTATCAAGAAATGAGCCTACATCATGTTAATTAGAAATAAAGAGGTAAACACGAAAGAAACTGTTTAAAAAGTTAAAAATGAGTTGTCCTTGTGGAGTGTGAACTGGGGACGGGAATGGTGGGAGGGAATACTTCTTTGATTGTAATTCTTTTATTGTAATTGAGCTAAATGCATGTAGCACTCTATGGGCTACCTCAAAACCAACGTTTAGAGAGAATGCATATGCTGAAGTGTATATACTAAGAGAAAAAAAAGGAAATTCATGAGCTAAGCATACAACTCTAGGAGCTCATAAAGGAACACAGGTAACCTGAAGACACTAAAAGGAAATACATAGTGAAAACTGATGAACTAAGAGGAAATTAAAGAAATAAAGACAGATAAAAGCAAAAAAAGCTGTCTTTGAAACAAACCAATACAACAGATTTTATCCATTCCATGAAAAAATAGGTCATAAAAATACACTAAAACTTTAAGATATCATAAAAGAATATGGTGAACAACTTTATACCAATAAACCTGACAACTTTAAAATATGGAAAATATGAATTACCAAAATAAACTCAAAAAGAAATTGAAAACATGAGTAGACAAGCATTAAAGAAACTGAATTAGTCATCAATATCAGAAAATCTCCAGGACTAAGCAATTTGAAAGGTGAGTTTTACCAAAACTTTAAGAAATAGATAATTCTTAATTGTACACTAACCCACTCAAGAGGATAGAAAGAGAATAAAACCTAAGCTCATTTTTTGATGTTTATAAACCTTGATATCGAAAAACAGATGGACTAGTGTGAGAAAGGAAGCTTGTCGACCGATCTCATTTTTACGTGGTGCGAGTTGTAGACGTCCTGATGGGTGCGATCTCCTGAGCTCTTTGTACATGTCAGGCACTGCTCTCAGGGGGTTTTGGTTGTTTTTGTACTGAGATACAACCGATACATAGATACAAAAACCTGCACATATTTCATGCATAAAATTTGATGAGTCTGGACATATGCAAAAATCCATGATCCAAGGACCACAATCAAGGGAATAAATAAATCCAACTCCTCCCAGTTTTCTTACGTCCCTTTGTTGTTTTTTTTTTAATTTTAATTTTGTGTGTGTCCATGTGTGGTAAAAATACAACATGAGTGCTGCCCACTTGACAAACTCTGAAGTGCACAAAAATATTGTTAACTACAGGCACTATGTTGCACAGGAGAACTCTAGAACTTACATAGCATAACTGAAATTCATAGAGTAACAACTCTTCACTTCCCCTGCTATAAGGGTATCATAAGTACTAACTTATTTAGTCTTCAAAACAGCCTTATCAAGAGGATACCACTATTATGCCTACTTTATCAGTCAGGATACTGAGGCACAGGTAGTTAAGTGTCTGTCCATGACATGAACCCAGGCAGTCCTCCAGGTTCTGTAATAGTGATGCCTAGTGCAGACTTTCCATAGAGGGGACTTTCTATTCCAGTCGATCACCTGAGGACACAGAACTGATACAGTGCAGGTGCACAACTGTACTGAAGTAAAAATACTAGCCAACACAGTAAAACAAGAATAAGAAATAAGACCAAGTGCTGAAGAGGAAACGAAAGTATTTTTATTAATAGATGATATAATTATCTACATAAACATCCAAGAGGATCTATAGACAAACTATTAGAACCAATGCATTCTTGATAAACAACAAGTTTATAATCTATAGCACAGGGAACTATATTCAATGTCTTATAATAACTTATGGTGAAAGAGAATATGAAAACGAATATATGTACGTTCCTATATGACTGAAGCACAGTGCTGTACACTAGAAATTGACACAACATTGTAAACTGACTATGCTTCAATAAAATATATATATTTTTTAAAAAAAAGAACTAATGCTTTCTTCAGTAAGATCGCTGAATAAAAGTTCATGATTTACCAAATACCTGCAAAAATCTATTAGGAATGTCATCTTTTAAAAATATCATTCAAAGTTCAACCAAAACTACAAGATACTTACAAATAAATTAAGCAAGGATGTATAAGATATACATGAAGAAAAATTATAGTTACTTTTTGAAGGCAATTACAGAAGAGCTAAGTAAGTAAGAAAAATACTATGCTCATGAACAGGAAAACTCAATACCCTAACTCAATACCCTAACAAATAGAGCAGTAAGTCCAATGTTCTTCTAATCATGATACTAACCATATTTTTCAAAGAAGTGACAAGTCTTATAACTCATTTGAAGAAGTAAGATGTGGTTTTGAAGAGTAATGTGGTTGATGATATGCAGTTCCTATGACCCAACAAATCCACTTCTAGACAGACACCTCAGACAGCCCAGTGAAAACCGTGTAAGATAACCGTGTGCACACTGAGTTCAAAAAAAGGAAGTGTCTAAACGTGCATCAACCTCGCAGTGAGTAAGTAAAATCTGTGTCATGCGTGGGTGAAAATCAAGAAACTAGATGTACATATATCAACCTAAACAAATCTCAGGAACGTTCTGCAGCTTGAAAGCATTATGAAACATATGCATTATGACAAGTAGATAAATTTTCAAAGCATATATTGTTTACAGGTACCCAAACACCTGTACAAGAATGATGCAATGATACACATTATTTTGAAGATGCAGTAAATAGTATTGGGGAAGGAACAGTAATAATAAATAATGTTAATACTAAGAACTTTGATGGGGAAGGTACAGCTCAAGTGGTAGAGCCTGAGCTTAGCATGCACAAGGTCCTGGGTTCAATCCCCAGTACCTCCTCTAAAAATAAAATAAATAAGTAAAACTTAATTACCTACCTCACCTCAAAAAAAATAATTAATTTGATTAAAACTTTTACCTATAGTATAAACATATTCAGTTAATCTTCAAAATAGTCCTATGAAGCAGGTATCATTATTATAATTTTTCAGACATGATTAAGCAACACACTAGGAAACCCTTCTAACTGCAATGTCAAGACAAGGACAGTATAAGCCTCAGTGTCTTCCGCCGGATTCTGAGTCTCTAAAACCCAACTTTCGAGCCACTGGCTCACGTGTCTGGTGAGGGCTGGGTCTCCGTGGCCCTCGGTTCCCTCAGAAAGAAACCTGATTAGATGCCACGTTCGGGCACACGGGCTGCCACGGGTCCTTCCTCGGTTTTGCTGATTCACGGCCACGTGAGGCAGCATCAATGCGACGTCATTTTCCACCCTTTATACCCTTCGAAGACGGAACACTGCGCCCCCTGATGAATCTGGCCAAGACGTCCTTGCCTTCATTCCGGGGGCCACCCTTTTCATCCGTACTTGATTCAGTCAACAGCTTTGGGTTCTGAACGCTTCCGCGCGACCCGCCTGCAGTCAGGCTAACGCAGAGCACGGCTGGCAGGCGGGTCCGGCCCGGGGGCGCGGGGGCGGCGGCCGGGGGCGCGGGGCTGCACGCGCACCGCCCTCGCTGCACGCTGCGGCCGCTGCAGCGCCGCGCTCGGGGGCAAAGCTGGAACCCTGCGCCGTGTCCTCAAAAAGATGACCTCTGAGAGAAACAGGTTTCAGAACGTTCCGAACTTGCAGTAGGAAAAGCTGTTCAGAACACTTGCGTCCAAGGTGATTTCCTCAGAGCGCTTCCAACGCGGATGTCCTGAAGGAACTAAAAAAATGACGCTCGTGGAGGAGGGGACCAGACCCGGCCAGAGCCCCTCACCGAACAGCTTGTTTGCCCACCGTCAGTGTGGAATTACAGAAAGCGGCTCCCGCACCACGAGTACTCACTGAAAGCTAAAGCTGAGCTGTTCTCTTCCTCCTCCTTCCAAGGTAAAGCATGTTAAATTCCTCGTCGCTATTAATACACGTTCCTAAAAGAAAAAGTTGCAAGGACATGAATGTATTCCGTTTCATGAGTATTTTCTTACTTACCATGACATCTTCACACTCTGACCAGATCTTACAAATGCTCAAACAAAATTCTGCATCTCAAATCCCACCAAAGAGGAGAAAACAGTACTCTTAAGACACGCTTGGCGGCCTTCGACATGTCCTGGCTGACTCAGCGGTTTCTCTGTACTCCACCACACGTGAGGGTTTTAAGTCCTGATGGCCCAGGGACGTTTCCCTGTCACACTTCAGACACATCCATCAGCACGTACGGACACCGCAGCGGCGCTCAGGAAAATCTCATTCTGAAAAATAAACCTCTCTTCTCAGAATGGAGAGTCGTCAGGACTGGGATGCGAGTCACTAACCCTAAACGACCATCGCTTCCATGTGGTAATTTCCTCACAAGCCGCATTTTTTAAACTGTAACACTGTGATTGGAATGTACTTACACGTTTTCCATTGGACGTAAGAATTTGAGAATAAGTGAGTCTTCGGAACAAGAAAGTAAATTCAAAAGCCCAGCTTAGTGAAATTGCGAAAAAAGCATATTTGCACTCTGATTCAAATTGTAGTATTTTTTGATTGATATTAAATAATGGCCACCAATATTTTTTGAGCCTGAGCAGCTCATATAATAAAAATAATAAAAATGAAATGGGGGAGGAGGAGCTTTGTCTTCCTTTTGTTGTCCTCTTGGCTCAAACCTCTTATAAAAATACACATTCCTTTCCCCATCGGATGTTAGCTTTGCCTCACGGAGAAAATCGGGACCATCCTGTTCCGTCCGCTGGAGAGCAGTGCGCTGGCTTCTGGACCACACGCCTGCCTGCCCTCACGGGTGAAACTCTCCATCAGAGTCTCGTGCCTTTTCACTTCTGAGTTCCAGTGACATCCATCTCCTCCTCTGTGGTATCACACATGCTCTAGAATGTCCTGTCTTCAAAAAGAAAATAAAAACCCCCTTTCTCCCCAAATCCAGCGTTTGTTCTCACCCCCCCCACCTTTGTTCCCTTCGCCGCGAAGTTCCTGAGAGTTGTCCACAGTCCCTGTCTCCACCTCTTACCTCCCGTCCTCCTCACTCAGCTCCCACCACTCCCTTGAGATTACTCCAGTCTACACCCCAAGGGGCCATTTTTGTCCTGTGTAACAAAATACCCCAAAACTCAGTGGCTTAAAACAACAATGTAATATGATCTCCCAGCTCCGTGGGTCATCTGGGCTCCCCCTGGAGGCTCTCCTGTGAGGTCCCTCCTGAAGCTGACGTTTCAGCTACAACCACCTGGAGGCTCCACGGGGCTGGATGACCGAGATGGTTCACTCACCAAGTCAGCAGCTGAGCGGTGCTGGCTGTTGTCTAGAAGGTCAGTTGGGACTGTCCATCAGAGTGCCTACACATGGCCTCTGCAGGGGACTGCCTTCTCGTCATGACCGTTGGCTCCCAAGAGGGGCTTCCCAATCTGCAAGGCTGCTTAGGACCCAGCCTCAGAAGTCCCAATCTCATTCCCCTCCATTCTGCGGTTAAGGTGAGCCAGTAAGGCCAGCCCTGATTCCAGGGAGGGAAATGAACTCCGCCTACTGGTACCCGGAGAAGCATGCGCACCCGGGAAGGGGCAAGCGGACGGTGGCCATCTTTGATGTGATCTACCATTGTGGTTGGTTCATAGTTCTTACTTCTCTTGACTTCACAGCAGCAAAGGCGTGGTAATTGGGTTCTCTTTCTTGAAACACTTTCTTCTTGTGCATTCCTTGATGCTCCACTTGCACTTCCCACCTCCCTGCTTGGTCCCTCTGCCCGCTTCTAGCTGGGGCAAATTACTCAACCTCCCCACCCTGCGTAAGCCCCCCAGCCTCATTTCTCTCCCTCCTCTGCAGAGACTCAATATCTTGAATTTGATTTTAAATTTTCCCATTCATGCACTTTTCTAAAGTAAGAATTTATAAAATTATAAATAAAATATAGTTCTGTTTCGTATTTTTCACATTTTAAGTACATGGGATACTCTGCACACTTCTGTAACTTACCGTTTTGCCCACCATCACCTTTGATAGTTATCTGTGTTAATTCTTTGAGCTATAGTTTATTTATTTTCATGAAAGTATATCTATAGGTTATTGGGCTTTTTAAATTTTACTAAATATTATCAAATTGCTCAGACAGTACTACTGCTGTCTACTAATTTATACCGCCACCAGCAGCACGAGTTTCTTTGGCCTTACAATGTCAGTCATGTCTGCCCATCTGGTGGGTAAGAAATAGTTCTCACTGCAGGTTCAGCTGGCATTTATTTGCCTGAAAACTGGGGAGGCTGGGCACCTTGTACTATGTTTATTGGCCACTCTGGCCCCCTCTTCTTGGCTTACCCATTTATATCTCCTGCCTATTTCCTCCTGGGTTGTTTGTCTTTCTCATCTTGATTTTTAGGAATTCACTGCATTTTCTTAATACTAAAGCTCTGTCAATTTGTGCAATGCAGATATTTTTCCCAGTTTTCAGTTAGTCTTTTAACTTTACCGATGGTGCCTCTTGATGAACTAAAATTTTAATTTTTAATTTACTTCAATATATCAATTATGATTAGTGCTTTTTGTGTTTGTTGTTTTTTCCCCAGAAAAATCACTCCTTGCCCTGATATTATAAAATGTTTCTCATGTTCCCCAAAACTTTCAAAATACGGTTCTTCAAATAAAATTCTGATCTACCTCAAGCTGAGCGTGTGTGTAAGTGTGTGTGTGGTGGTATGAGATGGCTTTTACTTACTTCCACATCCATGAATGTGGTTTACCTTTCATCAACTCTTAAGATAAAGTAGATATTATCAGAGTTGACAGATGAGGAAAATTAAAACCAGGAAATGGATCTGACTGGCCCGAGGACACACAGCTTGTCAGTGACCAAGAAAATGGAAGTGAGCATCCTGTCTAAATGACCTCCAGGCATACCGAGTTCATCAGCATTTAAATCTGGAATCTTATCTTTACCCCTCCCTCCACCTCCCTGCCTGCACCACTCCCAGATCAGAGAAGTCCCGCTCAGGGGACAGCTGTGTCCCCTGGCCTGGTGCTGCAGCGTCAAACCGCAGAGCTGGGTGAACACTGCTTTTTCCAAAAGCTGCCTGGGCGTCCTCCCCCGCCCCCTCCAGAGATTAGAATATCATCAGTGTGGGTGAGGCCAGGTAGTGATAATTCCTGAAGCACCCAGAGGACTTTATCAGGGCTGTGAACCACAGGAGCAGCCCCACCACCCCCAGGATCCCCCAGCCCCTTGCGTGGTGATGCCAGGATCTGTGGGGAGGTTCCCCTAGGGGAGTGATACCGTCATCTAGTGGCCAGAGGTCAGGGATGCTGCAAACAGCCTACAGTGTACAGAATGCACCTCCCCCCATAACCAAGAATTATGTGGCCCCAAACATCAACAGCTGGGGCTGAGAACTTGGGACCTGGAGTCCATCACTTTCACCCTTTCTGCTCACAGTATATTCCCCGCCACAGACTCCCACCAGCACTGTGAACCTTGTTCCGGAAGTGAGTCTCTGGCTCCGTCCCAGACCCACTGGTCAGAATCGAGGACAGGATCCCCCTCAAAGTCTGAGAAGCGTTGAGCTGGACCGCTCCCCGCTCCTCCCCCTGCAAATGCAATCAGACAACGAATCCCATCAAAGCATCTCCTAATTATCTCTGAAACTGTCCTTCCTTCTAAACCAAGGGTCACTCTCTCAACCCAGGACTTCATACTTGTCATCTCACCTATTGTGATAACCTTCCAACCTGGCCGCCTTCCTCTAGCCAAACAGAGATCTGTACCCTTTGCAAGAGTTAAGAAACATTGTGAGATGGAAGGAAAGAGATGGACCTTCCCAGGGGAGCGCGCACGCGCAAACACACACACACACACACACACTTACACACAGATACACGCACGCACATACACATACGCACACACACTCCTACTGCGTTGCATCAGTTCCCTGCAGGGTTCCCTGCAGCCCTCCTGGGACACCTCCAGTGAGAACCCCCGCCTCATCGCTGAGCAGAGAGCTTGTTCTGACAGGCAGCTGGGATGACTTGAACCCCCTCCTCAAAGTCCCAGCTCTCAGCCCTGCCTGTTCCTGCTGACCCAAGTCTCAGCAGTCACCTCGCGTGCCCATGAGCGCCCCGGTGCTTCCAGAGTCCACAGACGCTGCCACCCTGCCTGACATTCCTTCCTTCCCTCCCGGGTGCCTGGCTCAACCCTCTCCGTCCAGACTCAGCTCAAGGCTCACTTTCCCTGAGAAACCTTTACTGCAACTCACCCCCATCCACACCTCCACTCTGAGTTAGACTGTCTTCGTAGTCCCTCAGTTCCCAGAGCACCCATCCTCCATAGCCCTTCCTAGAGTGCATTACATTGTGGTTTTCTCTCTCTCTTTTTTTCTTTGGTATGAATCTCCCATCACATCCGGGTCAGCCAGGGTATCCGTCATTCTCTGCAACCTCCGTGCCGGGCACAAAACGGGGCCCAACCTAGGTTGCTAGTAAGTTTAAAGGAAAAATAGAATTAGCATTCTTTTCACTCCATCGTGTACTGCTTTCAAGTTATGCTTTGGTGACTTAGCATTTTTCGCTATAGTCAGAGTGTAATGCCATGTTTCTTAATCAGGTTGATGAGCGTCTGGGCGTTCAGGACATTACTCCTTACAGCTATGTTTTATATTCCGAGGGTTTGAAAGGTATGATTGGGATAAACTAGCAACTGCCTGGGTATCTCCTGGGTTCTGTGGAAACGCACCCCCAGATCCACACTCCTGTAATACTGCTTCTTGAGACCCAGTTCTGATTTCCCCGAGATCTTCCTGTGGGGAGCAGACCCCTCCTCAGCAGATGGCAGGAGGTGAGAGTTTAGAAACATTTTTCCAAGTTTGAGTGTCCAAGTGCAAAAACTCATCAAGGGCAGAAGAAATAGAACTTGAATTAGGATTAAAAAAAACAAAGATTTGGGCAC